CTCCCTAACCACCTGGTCATGCCGGGCCAGAACATCTAGAGAATAATTCTTTATCTTGAAAAAATTGACAGTTCATCAGCCTTCTGGTTTAAATCGAATTCGGAAATATATTGTAGTATACGTTTTTCCTTTTTTGTTTTGTTTTCGATTTAATCATACCACATAACTATTCTGTTTTCTTTTCAGTTCTATTTGTAAACATAATCTGTAATTTCGTTATACTGTTTTTAAGCCTTATGAACGACGTTCGCCCGAAAATTTAGCAAACTTATATTAACCTCGACAGAGTCTGAAGCTCGAAAGGGACTTAACACAATGTATCACAAAATCTTTATTCAACAACACAATTAGGGCTTTGCAAGAGCAATCATTTTGTGGCAAGCTTACTAAAGTGTGTTATATCTGAAGTTGGTTTTCTGTGAATTGCTTTATTCTCAGTCATCTTGTCCCAGACTGAGGAAACACGGGATTACATAAGAAAAAACCATAATTCTATTGTTCTCAGGGCACAGGAACCCTCTACATGATTAATGATCAATCTAACTAACTTGCAAGGAAAGATATCATTGTCGCTTTCTATATAACATGGAGTATGTTACAGTAATCATTTTTAATAGGGAGCTCATGTGATACCCTCGTTGATTGACCTAGTTCCATGAATAACTAGGGCAAGAGGAATTTATTGGTTCCTTTAACCAACTTTTGATACTAAACATAAAAATTTCACTATACAGAAGCTTTAAACATTACATGTCAACAAAGAGGACGTGAAATATATGATAAGCTTATATACCCGATTTCTCCTCCCTCTTTTAACTTCAGGCAGACCTTACCGTCCTTGACTTTAAAACTTAAAAATACGATTAAAATAACTTGCACACCTCTCAAGAAATTGGTTTAACTTACTACAGTACAGAAAATAAAATTAGAAATACAAATTTACATCAAACAAAACAAAATGATCACAACTGAAGGTGATTTCAAGCAAACTGAATACAATATGATAGTACAATTTACTATTAAATTATAAGATACAAAAATTAAAATTACACACAAAAATACAAAAAGAACGAAACAAAAAATAAAGCTGTTTTAACATTCATTTTATATTAAGAAACAGAAAACTACATGAAAATACACTTTTACATTATACATGAAAGGTAAATACTTTGTTTCATCGAATATGTAACAAATACAATACAAGAATAGACCTTTTACGAATGTAAGTTAAACCAAACATCACAAAGTAAAATAACTTCATGATAGTGGAAAAAAAACAACAACAAAAAAGATAGATTATTTTATCAAAAAAATCTATTCCAGCTTAACAAACAAAATAGGACTGTTTTATGTGAAAATGCGTGATAGCATATATTTTCTCATCAAACATTTCTTGTACTATTAGCTGTGAGGAAGCTACAATGATAAAATATTTACTGAAATAAAAAGCTATTTTATTATTATCTGGAGAGTAAAGGTCATGTTTTCCAAACTATATTGCAAAATACTGTAGGTTAATGTAACCTCACTGGGCTCATCGTATAAAAGTGATGAAAATTTTAATTTAAAAAAAAAAGCAAGTTGAAAATGCCCTAATATACATGAATGCAGTTGTGGTAGGCCTACTATTTGAAAAATATTTTAAATAGTACATCCTTTATACTACTTTCATCTGCCCATTAACTGGGAACTATTATCCAGTATTAGTTGTCTAGGAAATTTAAACGGTTAACTTTGCACTTAATTTATATGGATTATTTGATCCTATATGTCAAACAGAAATGTAAACATTGTGTAAGAGTTAGCTAAGCCTAGCCTTTTAAAATAAAATTCTAAGATTTAAATTAGAATGGTTTCCAATTTCTCGATAATTTAATATTTGTATTCATAATATTTAAGACATAAAATATTATTGTAACGTTCTTTTATTTGCAGTTTTTAACTATGTTGTTAAAATAATTCAACATGCAGTCCACGTAACAATAACAAATTAGTTTATTTCCTCCTTTAACGTTTATACATGCTTAAACCTGTAGGACACGTTTACAGCCACACTAACGATATTACACTAACGTAAAAATAAGCTTACTTGTACAACTTCATATCTGATCGAGTAGCTTAATATACACAATAGCTAACACTGATCCAAATACTTCACTAAAACTAAACACTTCACTGCTATTTGAAACAAAACAACTCTTTGATTGATTCACTGTAATGAAGGGAAACAACTCTATATCTTATAACGGTCCTTATATATATATAACATTCTCCTTGAATTTACAAGAAAATCTTAAATAAAGATTTTTAGAACTTTATTAGACTTTTTGATCTCAGCGTCATGCATCATCTAGCCAACATCTAAGTTACAACATAATGAAATAGCTTATAACACTGCCTCACTTCCAGAATTTTGAAGTCTCTTGGACAATTCTAATACAAAACAAAACTAAAACACTATACTAAACTGTCCGTTCACCAAGTCTTTTTGGTGATATTTTCTTCCGAGGCCCATGGTATGCAGGTGGAAAAGTATCCTGTTCCTTGTTGTCACTGGCCATTCTGTCACAAGGGGAATTATCCCTGTGTAGGAAGTCGAGT